GGATTGAAATACTACAGTGTGTGTGACAGCTTCATAGTGCTATACTTTAACCCATTGTGCCACAAGGGAGGGCCCAAAATTTGCTGTACTCTCTCTTTTTTTTTTTAATTGATGATTCAAAACTGGGGTACAGACCAGAGGTATAGGGATGGTAAGAGGATTCAGCAGAGACAGAGAGCGGAACAGAACAGAACAGAACAGGTAGATTTATGAAGTATACTGCTGAGGGGAGCGACAGGCAAGATGGGAGAGGTCTGCCATGCCATGCAGGTCAGCTTCCTGGCTGGGGATGGAACTCTGGACATAGTGGCTGGTGATAGCTTGATAGTGCTGAGACTTTAATGCCTGTGTCACCAGGGTGGCCCATTCACAGGCAATTACCTAAGTGTTTCACAGATGTTAATTAAGCCTGGAAAAAAACTTACTTCATTTTTACACATGAATAAACAGTCACAGAGAAGTTGATAAGTTACGTTGTCACCCAGTGACAGCTGGGGTGTGAGCCTCTGACACCAGGGCTCTCAGTCATAACCATGTAGTGGACACACACATCCCCAGAGCCCCCGCTGGCCCAGCCCCACACATTCCCCCTCACTGTGACCCGGCCCTCAGATGACAGCTATGGAAGCCGTGGAGTCCCCGGAGTCCCTGGCCGCTATCGCTTACCTGCTCAACCTTGTCCTGAAGCGGTGAGTCCTGGCTCCCGTCCGAATCCTGCCCTCTTTGTGAGGGAGTGGGAGGAGTGGGGTTGGCATTGCAACAGAGAAAAATGTGCCTGCCACAGGTGGCATTCTGCAGCCTCTGGCTGCCCGTGGCGTGGGATGCTGTAGCTCAGAATGTGAGTGTGGGCTTTGGAGGGGGACTGGGCGGGGTGGAGGGGGTGTGGCACTGGGATGCCTGCTGACCTCAGCTAGGGGAGATTATAGGGCCCTGATGTGAGGGTGCAGAGAATGGGTAGCAGCGAAGATGCAAGAGGCAGGGAACTCACGTGCTGTGGAAGGTGGCCTCCCTGCTAGCTGCTCATTGGCCCGTGAGGGGCCGGGGCTGTTCTGCTACTGTTGGAGACCCCTTCGGGGCCCTGACCTTCTCTGTTCTTTATCTGCAGTGTGCCCAGCCCTGTCCTCATGAAGAAGTTCTCCGATACTTCCAAAACCTTCATGGATATCCTTTTAGCCCAGGCCAGCAGCGGCTCCACCTCTGCTCTCCGATGGGTGCGTCTCTGGGTCTCAGTTTCCCTTCTGTCTTCCAGTTCCTTCTCCTAGGCCACCAGGCATGGCCCCTCCTGCTTGGCATGCCCCCTCCTGCTTCTCCAGAGCCAGTCTAAAGGGACTAAGACATGCTCCCTGGAGCGGGCGTGGAGGGGGCAGGTATATAGGCCCTCTGTGGATCTCGGGTGGACCTGTTTGAGATTCTCTGGAGTCACTGAGAACCTGTGCTGCTTCCACCTGGCTGAGGCGGGTGGAGCTGAAAGACCGATTTGCTCTCTTAAGGTCCTCTCCTGCTTGGCCACCCTTCTTCGGAAGCAGAACCTGGAAGCCTGGAGCTACCCCGTGACCCTACAAGTGTATCATGGGCTACTGAGCTTCACGGTGCACGCCAAGCCCAAGGTGAGACTGCTGCACCCCCAGAATAGGGGATTGGGCCAGCCACGAAAGTGGGGAGGCTAGAACTAGCCTGTCTGAGTACAATCAGGGCAGGTGCCCAGCATCCACATCCTGCCTGCTGGCCTCTCTGCCCAGCTCCGGTTCCACTGAGACAGACAGGTGGCAGTCTTGCAGCAGGAATGTCCAGCATGGTGCCTCTGAGTTTCCATTGCCTCATTGGTCAGTCATGTGTTAGTTATGGGGTGGGGGGGCACGAGTGTTTGGGATCACCAACCTGAATTTGATACTGGGGTCACTGCTAGTGCTATGTACTTCATCTCCCTGTGCCTCGATTGCTTAGCCATGAAATGGGGGTAGTAATGGCAACCATGATGCAGGTTTGTGGGCACACTCCTGTGTTCCCCACAGGCCTGTGCAGCTCAGTACGTGGTGTTGGCACTCTGTTTCCTCCTGAAGTTTAGGGCAGGGGCAGGGGCAGAGGACAGTAATAAGAGTCTCACTGGGCCCTCACACCCTTTCCCTGTGGTCTCTCCCTCCCTTCTATGGGTCTCTGCTAAAGTGTCACTTCCTTGGAGTGACACTCTCCTTCCACCGTGAAAAAAGTTACCAGCTCTGCTTTGTTGTCCGCAAGTACTTTTTACATTCTGGTGTCTATTTGGTTATTTTCTGCCTCCCAAATAGAACGTGAGTCGTTTACTCTGTTCACTGCCAAACTGCTGGCTGGATGACTGGATGAATGAAAGAAATCCTAGTTGTAAAGGTGAAGACACAACTCAGAGATCAGGAAGTTAGGCTTGCTTGAGGCTCTTGACTTCAGGGGAGAATAGGGTTGGAACCGAGACTAAATCTTGCTCCACTTCTGAGGAGTTAGGCACAAAGCCCTTAGGGGAGCCTCACCCCCTTGGAGCCTGCGATCAGAGCTCGTGCCCTCCACCCAGGGACGCAGCCCTGCCCCCTTATCTTGCCCCTCAGGTCCGGAAGGCTGCCCAGCATGGTGTGTGCTCAGTTCTGAAGGGCAGTGAGTTCATGTTTGGTGAAAAGGCCCCTGCCCACCATCCTGCGGCCGTTTCCACGGCTAAGTTCTGCATCCAGGAGATGGAGAAGTCTGGAGGTAGGAAGCCAGCCTTAGGGTAGGCTGGGTCGGGGCCAGCCAGCAGGGAAGGTCAGGGCCCACTGCAGGGGCAGGAGCCTCAGCTCCCCTTGTCTGCCAGGCGCCAAGGAGGCCACCACCACGCTGCACATGCTGACGCTGCTGAAGGACCTGCTGCCCTGCTTCCCCGAAGGCCTGGTGAAGAGCTGCAGTGAGACCCTCCTCAGGGTCATGACCTTGAGCCACGTGGTACGCTCAGGACCCGAGCTGTGCCATGCTTTAGACCCCCTGCCCAGGCTGCTGTTACTCAGGGAACTCTGGTCGGGCCAGAGCGGGGCCTGGGGTCTCCCGACCCGACTCCAATCTCGGGGCCACCATTCTTATCCCCGGAGTCGGAGGGACTGGTCATCTTTGGATGCAGTTCAGTTGGGAATTAGCCTCAGACATCAGGTCAGAGTGGGAATGAAACAGTGGCGGGAAGCTCTTTTGTTCCTACGGAAACCTTAAATATGTATAAACCTTAAATATGTATAAACCTTAAAGATACATAAAAATGATCCCCTGCCTCTCTGCCACACATTAATATTTTCTTCAAGTATTCTAAAGTATTTCTTACATAAATAACATGCATGTTGTTTAAAAAGGAGGAAGCATTTAGAAGTATATGAAATAGAAGCTAAAGATATTTTTCCCTCTAGGTCTCATTTCGTAACGTTGCAAACAGCTGACTGCGTGTCCTTCCAGACACCCTCTCTGGGTCAGCCACACACATACAGATGTGGCAGACCGCTGTAGCCACGGTCTGCATGCGTGGAGCCGCTTTTCCCGGCCCATTGTGTTAGGAACATTTTGCTCCTTTTCTCCGTTTACTTTGTTGAAATTTAAACTTTTCCCTGTGGTTGCCAGGACTTACTGAAGGGACAGTCCAGGTGTAGGAGGATGAGTTTGAGGTTCGGGGATTAGGGCAGCGGTGCGTTTTGTGGTTCCCGACGGAGCCTGACTGACTGTCCTCTCCAGCTGGTGACCGCCTGTGCCATGCAAGCCTTTCACAGCCTCTTCCACGCCAAGCCCAGCCAGGACACCCTGTCGGCGGAGCTCAATGCCCAGATCATCACGGTGAGGCCCCATGGTGAGGGAGGGCATCGCTCGGCTGGGCCCCTTAGAGGTGGCACGGGAGCCTGGCGCTGAGGCTGCACTGGTGTCCACGAGGGCAGCTGCTTCCTCGCCGGAGGGGTTCTTAACTGAGCACACTACTTTAGTGTGGTCTCGTGGTGCTAACCGATGCTTTGAGGAGTGTTCAGCCTTAGGAGTCTGTGGGTGGATTTGGGGAAAGGCTCATCAACCCCCCTCCAGGTTACTTACTGATGTGTGATTGTGCTCACATGCATTTTTCCAGAGAAGGGCTCTGGCTTTTGTGGGGCTCACAAAGGGTTTTGTGAGTCAGGTTATTCTCTGCCCTCCTAGACACTTTCCCTCCCATAGAATCAGTACCAGAAGGGCTTCACAGAGTGGGGAGCGGCAGAGCTGGGAAGGCACAGAGGCTGCGAGGCCCACAGGCCACCACTGGCCTGCGCTGCTGCTGAACACGCTCGCTCAGCCCCATGCTTCCTCCCTGCCCTGCCTCCAGGCCTTGTATGACTACGTGCCCAGCGAGAATGACTTACAGCCCCTGCTGGCCTGGCTTAAAGTCATGGAGAAAGCCCACATCAACCTGGTCAGGTAGAGACGTGGTGAAGGGGCATCCTGGGGCTCCTGGCTCTGCGGCACACGCGGGAGGGGCTCTTCTTCCTGGGCCCAGCAGAGCTTCCACCGCAGGCATGCTGCCTACCTGCTCCTGCGGGGATGAGGCGCGGGGCAGGATGGCAAGCCTGTGTCAGCCAGGGCCGCAGAGCCCTGCACATCGGTGACTATCCTTAGACCTGGGCCGGCTGTGACCCTCAGGTCCACCAAGAAGCCTTTTGTCTCGACAGGCTGCAGCGGGACCTGGGTCTGGGTCACCTCCCTCGCTTTTTTGGAACAGCGACGAGCTGCCTCCTCTCCCCCCACTCGCAGGTGGTTACAGCTGCCACCCAAAGCCTCCAGGTACTGTTCCTCCTGCCCCCCAGACCCTGCTGCAGTGGGAGAGCAGCGAGGGTGCTCCGTTGGGCCTGCTGTTGCCTCTCCCAGAGCTTCTCAGGTCCAGCAGCCTCCTGGGGGTAGGCTTCCAAGAAGCTTCCGGAGGCAGTCACCTGGGGGGTGACACTGGGGGGGCCCAGACAGCCTGCAGCCTCTCTTTGCAGGCGATCCTGAAGGAATGCGTGGCTCCCCACATGGCTGACATCGGCTCTGTGACCTCCTCAACCTCGGGCCCTGCCCAGTACGTCGCCAAGATGTTCAGGTGAGAGCACTGCACCCTGTTGAGAGGAAGTAAGGTGGAGCTCGTGGAAAGTTCCTCATGACAGTGCTCCACTGTCCCCCAGGCCTGCGCAGCCCTCGGCGGCTGCTGTCAGTTTGTGCACCAAGCATATTCCTGGCACCGTGATGTGAGGCTCATGTGTGTGGAGCCTGGGCCACTGCAGGTCCTCGCCCTCAGAGGTTAGGTGAAGTAGCAGGTGTACAGTTCTCAGAATAGCAGCTAGTGTGCAGCTGAACTCTCGCTAGACCTTCTGGTTCTGGGACAGAAGGACTGAGCCCCATTAGACGGGTAAAAGGTCTCCAGCTGGTAAGCGGCAGCTTGGCTGCAGAGTCCGCTCTTGTTCACTTACAGGGCTGCCCTCCCCTCCCACACGGGAGCCGTCTCCCAGACAGCAGCCTGACCCCCGGCGGCCCCCAGCAGGCATTGAGGGGCCTCTGCACCGGGCACACCGGAGGGCCCCAGGAAGGGGTTGGGTTCTTGGTGCCCCTCTGTGTGTCTGTGTCCGGCTCGGAGGTGTGGTGTTGTAGATACTGCCCCTTATGGGGAAATGGGCCTGTCTCCTGTTGACACCACTGGGGTGAAGTGTCGGGAAAACTGAGAAACAGCTTCCCCCTCTCGAATTCATACCTTTCCCCACGTGAGCCCTGTCGGCCGTTCTTGCCTAAAATCTCCAGGCGGCTAACTCTGGGAGATGCAGCTGACAGGGTGTGCCCGGGCTGGAAGGGGCCGGCTCTCCCTCACTCGGCCCTGCGCTGCAGCTTTCCTCAGCGTGTTGGCCACTTGTCCCTGCCCCTCCCTGTGCCTGCAGGGCACAGAGAAGGCGCAGCTATGGCGGCCAGTCCGATTACGAGCAAAGTGGCCGCAGCAGGTTACTGAAGCTCTGCACGTGTCAGTTTCTCCTCTGAAGATTTTCCTTCAGCACTAGGACTGTGTGAGTTAAGTCCTGGCACAGAGTGAGGTGTGGACGCTTGGTCGTTCTCTCCCTAGGCGTGTTTTGAGGCCCCACCCTTACGGGCCAGTTAGTTGGTGGTTGGTGACTCCTGATGGCAGCCACTGACTTCTCAGATGGGGCCTGGAGGCATGACCTTGACCCCACCTATCCTTCCCTTGGCAGGGCAGTGGAGGAGGGCCTGACCTACAAATTCCATGCGGCGTGGAGCTCCGTGCTCCAGCTGCTGTGTGTCTTCTTCGAGGCATGCGGGAGGCAGGCCCACCCTGTGATGAAGAAGGTAAGGGCTGCAGGCTCCTTGGCTCCTGGAGGCGACCTTGTGATATCTGCCCTTGGTCCCTCCTTCAGTGGCTATCGCAGGTGTCCCATTCCGTGTCCCTAGGGAGGTGGCGGGGCCAGTAGGGGGAGCAAGAAGAGGGCTCGGAGCCCCAGTCGCTCTCGCCTGCTCACTAGTCTTGCTAGAGTTGGTGGGTTGGAAGTTCCTAGGGAACCAGTGTGATTCTCCTTCACTCTACCTGTGGTCTAATTTTCAGTTTTCTAAATCTGTGATAGTAAGTATAGTGTTTTAACCCTTAATTACTCACTACAGACTGCAGTAAACCATTTACAGATCAGGGCGGAGCCAGGGCCCTTCCCAGCAGCTGTTCTCAGCCCCAGCCCATCAGCAGCAGGTGGAACATCTCCCGGCCTAGTGGCGCCTTTTTCTCTGACTCCCCCTTTGCTGGTTGGAAGGTGCCTCCCTAGAAGGACAGGCTTCCCCAGGAGGCCTGGTCTGAACCCTAATAGATGAGGCTGGCAAATGCTGCTTCCTACGTGAAGTCAGAGTAGGCCGTAAAGAGTGACCCGCCAGGAGGCTTTGTGAGACTGGGGAGTGCCAGAGGACACAGCAGCTGTCTCTGGATGCTCCACAGGGCCTGGCAGTGGCCTCACTCTTATACGTGGGTCTGCCTTCGCCAGGCGTTCTCATTTTTCAGTGTAGAGTAGAAGTTTACATTTGTTTATAAAACCTGATTTTTACTTGTTACTAACAAAACCAGGCTTTTAAAAAAATCACTACATTGGGGAGGGGTGAAAAATAGTGGGTTAAGATTGGTGACTGGCTTATGACTTCTGACCTAAGGCTTAACCTGGACTCGCACTCCTGACCTCTCCTTAAGGAGACTGGCCTGATCAGCCCTGAGTCGCTGCGCTGTGAGCACAGCTTAGTGTCTGATCTGTCATTTCTTTGCTCTAGTGTCTCCAGTCCCTCTGTGACCTGCGCCTCTCCCCCCACTTCCCCCACACAGCAGCTCTGGACCAGGCAGTGGGGGCTGCCGTGGCCAGCATGGGGCCTGAAGTGGTTTTACAGGCTGTGCCTCTGGAGATCGATGGCTCTGAGTAAGTGGGACCCTGGTTGGCTTCTGTACAGGCCCCAGGAGAGTTAGAGGCCTTTTCCCTCCTCCCCCCAAAGTGTCCACTCGCAGACGAAGCCTCCGTGCCGTTTGGGGTCAGCTGGAGAGGCCGGCATGGCTGGCGCTGCTCCTCGGCACAGAGGAGGTCCAGCTGGCTGCGCTGTCGCCGCTTCCTCACCGGCCCGCCTCCCACAGAGAGACCCTGGATTTCCCACGGAGCTGGCTGCTGCCCGTCATCCGGGACCACGTCCGGGACACTCGACTTGGTTTCTTCACCACCTACTTCTTACCCCTGGCTACCACCCTGAGGAACAAAGGTGCGGAACCCACCTCAGATGAGACCCTGTTGGAAGGGCTCGTGGAGGGCTTCTTGTCCACACCCCCAGTCTTGGGCCATTCGGCAGCCTTCCTCTGCCAAGCAGTAACCAGCCAGCGCCTGCTCTGCCCTCTGCGTGAAGGTGTATGGCCAGGCCCTCGCCTCCCTGCGGAAGTCATGAGACCAGTGCACACATTTATACCTGCAGAGACGCGGATCGCAAACAATCTACTTGTCCCTTCAGGGAGCTCCGCTCGAGCCATGTAAAGCCCACAGTGGGCTCATAGAAAGGAAGAGACCGTGGCAGGGGGGACGCTCGGCTGGGCCACCCACAGCGTGGGGGATTTAGGAAGGTTTATCCAAGCCCTGGTCTGGGACGGTGATTCCACCATCGGGTGAAATCATCGTGGACGTGCCCGTTACACGCCTGCCACATAGACATTGCTCCATGAAAGTGACCCAGTTTATTACCAAGGGAAACAAGGTACTAAATTGTGCCAGGGTGGAAGAGGGAGAGTCCAGCCTTGATGATGCCTAAAGGATGATGACAAGAGGTAGTGGCCGTCCCTGGAGTAATGAGGGGAGACCCGCTGTTTTCTAGCTTCTCAGAACAAACAGTACTCTGGTTCAGGGGGTGGAGGAGGTACCCATATTGCTGTTCTCATAACTGGGCTCTTGCTTTGGGGGAAAACGAGGTCTGTTTGCTGGGAGGGTGCCCGGGGTTACTGTGTCCCCGTGTCCTATTCCAGCAATGAACCTGGCCCAGGCGGGCAGCACGGTGGAGTCCAAGATCTACGACACACTCCAGTGGCAGGTAAGGGGCGGTGAGGGGCGTGGGTGGGACAGGGCTGGGCGCGGGTCACTGGGTGTCACCTTACTCCGCCACTCCTTCCTCTCTAGATCTGGACCCTCCTGCCTGGGTTCTGCACGAGGCCCACGGACGTGGCCGCCTCCTTCAAAGGGCTGGCTCGAACACTGGGCACAGCCATCAGCGAGCGCCCAGACCTGAGGGCCACTGTGTGCCAGGCCCTGCGCACCCTCATCGTCAAGGGCTGTGAGGCAGGTATGTGTGCTCTTGGTTTCGGGCAGGTGGGAAGGTGGTCCTGAGGGCCTGGGTCTCCTGGTCCCATCTCCTGGCCTGCCAGGTCTCTGCCTGACCTGTAATTCGCCTCTCAAGGGCTTAGGGTGTCTACAGGGGACCTGGGGAATTAGTGGGATGCTGCGGCACTGGGCCTTGTTCCTCCAGGTGGCTGGCACTTGGCTGACCCCCGGGACAGGAGCCAGTGGCACCTCATTTTCTCTGCTCTGGCCTCAGCCTCTCCTGTCCCAGAGAAAGCCCAAGCCCATGGTTCTGGGTATCGTCGTGGCTCCTTGAAAGGATATCTCTAGGCCGCAGTCTCAGGCTTTGAGGTGGGTTCACGTCTTGTCCTTTTTCTGCAAACCTTGATTCTGCTACAGAGGCTGACCGTGCTGAAGTGAGCCGCTTTGCCAAGAACTTTCTGCCCATCCTCTTCAACCTGTATGGGCAGCCTGTTGCAGCCGGGGATCCTCCAGCCCCTTGCCGGGCTGTGCTGGAGACCATCAAAACTTACCTCACTATTACTGATACCCAGGTGAGCAGCGGGGGATGGGGCAGGAACCCTCTTAGGTGTATTTATTGGAAAGGCTGAGATCCTCCCTCTTGGGCCTGGAGATCAGGGGGCCTGAGCGTGGTCACTGTGGGTAGTCCAGACCTGAAACTTCTAGGTGGGGAGAGGAAAGGAAATAGAGGGGAAGGTGCTATGTGTGTGTTTCTTCAACAATTCCCTCCTCATCCTCCTCGGCTCCAGTTGGTGAATGGTTTCCTGGAAAAAGCCAGTGAGAAGGTGCTGGACCCTACTAGCTCAGACTCTACCAGGTAAAATGCCCCGTCCTGCACCAGGAAGCCCGGGGAACGGGAGGGTGTGTCTGGCAGAAGGCTTGTGGAATCTCTCTGGAATTACACAGGAAAGGCTTGAGATACTGAATGTCCCCACCCTCTTGCGTGGTCTGACCGGCTCCTTCCCCAGGAGGCACTCTAGCCTCTAGGGAAGAAAGGGGATCCTGGAGGGCCTCCCTGGTGGCGCAGGGGTTAGAGTCTCACCCTGCCAGCAGCCACTGTGGCACAAGTTCAATCCCCAGCCAGGCTGCTGACTCACAGGCACAGAAGACCTCTCCTGTGCACCTGCTGCTCCCCACTCTGTCTCTGGGGACTCCTCTCCGCACACCTCTGGCCTGTACCCCAGTACTCGTGTGCGTAAATAAATAAATCTTTTAAAAAGAAAGAAAGAAGGGGGATCCTGGAGACACTGCTTGGGTGCAAACCCCAGCTCTGCCACTTAGAGCAGTGTGGCCCTGGCAAGTGGCGTGCCCTCTCTGTGCCCCTTTGCCCTGTAAAGGAGGCCGGGTAGCACGCTCTGTGGCAGGGTGCGTGAAGACTGAGGGGCCAGCATGGGGAACGCCCCTCGGGCAGTGCCCAGCTCGGAGCTAGCCCTAGCTCTTCCTCGGTCTCCGTTGAGGCCCTTGGCCTCTCACCCTGACTGCCCCCGCCCTCCCCACACCCAGGGGACATAAGAACACTGATCATCAGTTCCCCACCACCCCCATCCACCCAAAACCTCTGCTTGGTCTCCTCCCCTGAGCAGACTGTCTGTTCTGGACCTGGTTGTGGCTTTGGCTCCTCATGCCGACGAGGCGGCCATCAGCAAGCTGTACTCCACCATGCGCCCTTACTTGGAGGTGAGCCGCGGAGGCCGGAGCCCCACACCACCACACTCAGGGCTCGCGGGAAGACGGGCCCCCGTGGCAAGGGAAACAGGTGTCATCCTGTTGCGCTGAAGACTAGGTCCTTGTCTGCCTTCTCGTGGCGTGACTGCCGGTCACGCCCCGGCTCGCCCTCTGTCCTGTGGGTGCCAGTGACTGCAGTGCACATCTGTGCGGGGCCCCACCTGCTCAGGCGCCTCCAGTAGAACTGAGCGCCGTACGCCTCCTGCTCACTCACTGGGCCCGGCTCACCCTGCCTGGTCTTCATGCCCACCAGGCCTGCCAACACTCCAGCCTCATCGGATGTGTTCTGGTCCCTGAGACAAGAGCCCCTCTGTGCCCCTCCGTGCCAGGCCCTCTGCCCGCCGTGCTCAGCGCCCTCCTGCTGTGGCTCGCCAGCAGGCAGTGATCCCTGAAAGCTCTCAGTGCTGCCACAGTTTAGCGCGCACTTACTTAGCAGTACAAGGTGCTCTGGGGACCGAGAAGGAAAGGTGTCCAGGTTGGGATTGGTGACAGCTCTTGGGGAGCAGCAAGGACTTAGCCAGGCCAAGGAGAGAGGCACACCCCGGCCAGAGGCACAGGCCTGGCGCGCTCCAGGCACTGCCAGTTCACACAGCTCAGGAGGGTGGCGCGCCCGGGGCTCGGGTCACCGGCAGGCTGCGCAGCACCCCTGCCTGGCGTAGCGAGGGCGGACTCCCACTGCTGGTGCGCGGCCGGCCCTCTTGCCGCGCCTCACGCGCGCCCCTGGAGCTGGCTTCTCCGAATCCCCCGCCGGCTGGCTGCTCTGTGAATGCTGGCAGATGGGGTGGGCGCATGCACAGGGGGAGAACCCGCAGCCCCGTCCTCCTCCATCCTTGTCCACCGTGTACCCCTCCCAGAGTAAGGCTCACGGGGTACAGAAGAAGGCCTACCGTGTGCTCGAGGAGGTGTGTGCCAGCCCTCAGGGGCCTGGGGCCCGCTTTGTGGAGAGCCACCTGGGAGACCTGAAGCAGACCTTGCTGGACTCGCTGCGGAGCGCATCCTCGCCCGCCAAGAGGGTGAGGCCCGGAGCAGCCTGGTCTGCCCAGGGGAAGGGGAAACGCTGGAGAGCCTGAGGGGCTTCGGGGCAGGGAGGCCTTGGGAGTCCTGACCGCTGCGCTCCACCCCACCACAGCCGCGTTTGAAGTGCCTCACACATATTGTGAAGAAGCTCTCTGCTGAGCACGAGGACTTCATCACTGCCCTGGTCCCGGAGGTGAGGCGTGCAGGGAGGGGGGGGCTCGGGAGTCTATGTGGTGTGGCTCCTGAGGCCTGCTGGGACCAGGGGGGTTGTGCCAGCTCTCGGGGCCCTGGGGCCCCCTTTGTGCAGTGGCAGGGCAGTGCTGCTGGTGGGGTGGGCTCGTTTCACTCCCTGGGAGCATGGGTGCCCTTTCCTGCATCCTGCCTCAGGCTGCCCGGCCTGGGAGCGCGTGCTCACGGGCTCGTCTGGACAGGTGATCCTGTGCACCAAGGAGGTGTCGGTGGGCGCGCGGAAGAATGCTTTCAGCCTGCTAGTGGAGATGGGCCATGCTTTCCTTCGGTTTGGCCCGAACCAGGAAGGTAAGGCCAGGGACACTCGGGCTGGGGTAGGTTCTCCACTCACAGGCTTTGCCGGGGAGGTCCTTGTCAACACCCCTGACCGGAGAGAAAAGATGAGAGAGCAGCTCTGTCCAGGGCAGGCTGCTCCTCTCTGGCCTGGAGTCCCTCTCCCTGGTGGACCTGAGGGCAGCATGTGGGTGGGGCTGCCTCGGTATGACGTGGGTATTCGCCCCCCAGAGGCCCTGGAGCACTACCTCGTCCTGATCTACCCCGGCCTTGTGGGGGCTGTGACCATGGTCAGCTGTAGCATCCTGGCTCTGACCCACCTCCTTTTCGAGTTTAAAGGTAAATGCTGCTGTCACGGACCTGGGAAGCTCTCGGGAGGGAATTGCCCAGAAGGTCAGGACGGTCACTGGAAGGGGAAAGGCCCTGGAGGGAGAGAGGAAGGAAGGGGATGCCGCCCACCATGTCCGTGGCCACCCTCCCTCCCCACAGCTGCCACGTCAGAGCAGATACAGTCTGGGCACGGGACCTGCTTATTCACTCTGACAGCAACTAGGCTCATGGGCCTCACGGGCCTCACTCTAAAATGGGAGGGAAAGAGCATCTCCTGGTTTGCCCGAAGGACTAGAGGAGACACTCCACGGAGAGGGACTAGACCCCAGCTGGGAACACGACATCTCCCAAACGAACACTCTTGTAACCTGGCGGGCCACACGTCGGAGTGGGGTCACGGGTGTCTGACAGTGGCCCCCTGGCCACCGCAGGTCTGATGGGCACCAGCACTGTGGAGCAGCTGCTGCAGAACGTGTGCCTGCTCCTGGCCTCCCGCACCCGCGACGTGGTCAAGTCGGCTCTGGGCTTCATCAAGGTGGCAGTGGTCGTCATGGACGTGACACACCTGGCCAAGCACGTGCAGCTGGTGGTGAGTGTGCCCTGCCTGTCTCCCCCTTGGCATGGCAGCATGGGCCCAGTGTGCCTCGGCAAGAAGTTTCAAACAGTTGCTGAGCCACTGACTGACTCGTGCAGCAGAGGGCCGTGGAAGGACCACAAGGGGACTGCCAGGCTCGTGGCAGCGAGGAGCACGGTGCCCTGGCTGCCTCGTCTCGGCCCTCCCGACCCCCGTGACAAGGCCCTGTACGGCAGAGGCCGTGTGGCGGGCTACTGCTTGTTTCATAGATGGGGGAAATGAGGCCAGAGATGTCCCACGGTCACGGCGCCGGTGAGCAGCAGCTGTGGGCACGGTTGGATCAGGGTAGCCGGCGCGTGTGGTCTGACTGCAGTCCTGCACATCAGTAGCAAAGCAGAGCTGGAAATTTCCAGGCTGAGTGTTGGGCATATCCCAGTATACATGCAAAGGTCTTTAATTTACAGTTAAGAAAAAAAATCTGTCCAGTCCTTAGCTGACAGAGAAGCTAATGGTGCAGACTCAAGGGCAGTGCATAACAGAATAAAGAATTTACACCATCAGCTAAGTACTGTTAATAAAGAAACATCAGCAATAAATAGAAGCAGCCATTCCTGGCATGAGTAGAGAGTCTGATTTACGCAGTTGCCACATTAGGAGCAGCCCAGCCAGAGATCAGCGCAGGCCATCCGAAGAGACGGAACGGAGAGAGCCTGGGGGTTTGGGCAGAGCAAGGCATGGAATAAGCCTGGGTAGACGCTTGCCTTTGTACTGGGGACGGTAATACTCTCCACTTCCTTGGGTTGTTCTGAGGAGTCAGTGAGATAATGCATGCAGTGCCAAAGCTCTCTACCGCTGTCATCTTGGGAGGACCGTCAGGGTGGTCAGGAGCTGTGTCATCAGGGGGTGCCCAGGGGAAGGGTGTGGGGGCTGCCCAGACCACAGATGCCTGATGGGACTATGAGGCAGTCCAGGAACCTAGCTGGGCCTGGTAGTCCCGTGGCCCCAGTCAGGACAGCAGTGAAGGGGAGGCTAGGTTGAGGCAGGTGCCCTGAACGCTGGTCCCTGCTGGCAGATGGAGGCCATTGGGAAGCTTTCGGATGACATGCGTCGGCACTTCCGCATGAAGCTCCGGAACCTGTTCACCAAGTTCATCCGCAAGTTTGGGTCAGTACCTGAAGAGGTCGGGAGGGTGCAGAGAAGGAACTGAGGGGCTTTCAGTCTCAGGAAGGACCCCACAGAGAAGGGGCCTGACCCGGGTACCAAGCCACCCCGCCGCCTGAAAGGGCCCACGCTCGGCACCTCCTCCCTCCGAGCAGCACCCTGGCCAGGGAGCCTCACCAGCCCATTGCCCCTCAGGTTTGAGTTGGTGAAGCGGCTGCTGCCCGAGGAGTACCACAAGGTGCTGGTGAACATCCGCAAGGCTGAGGCCCGGGCCAAGAGGCACCGCGCCCTGAACCAGGCTGCCATGGAGGAGGAGGAGGAGGAGGAAGAAGAACCTGTCCAGGGCAAAGGCGACAGGTGACACTGGGAACCTGGTCTCCCCGACCTGGAACCTGCCCAGGCAGCGTCCAGCTGTCCTTGGAAGCCTCCTGACCCGGGACTTCTCTGCCCTCAGTATTGAGGAGATTCTGGCCGACTCAGAAGAAGAGGACAATGAGGAGGAGGAAAGGAGCCGAGGCAGGGAGCAGCGGAGGCTGGACCGGCAGAGGAGCCGCGCGTGGCTGAAGGAGGGTGGCGGGGATGAGCCTCTCAACTTCCTGGATCCCAAGGTGGCCCAGCGAGTCCTTGGTGAGCAGGGAGTAACGGGCTCATGAGGGTGTGACAGGCCTGTGTGTGTCACGTTTGGGGCTGAGGGTGCACCCATCAGGGGCACAGACCTGTGTTTGTTAGCTACAATGAGGGTGTGAGCGGGTTGGGCCTGGCCTTCCACTCCCTCACTGCCCAACTGCCACGTCAGCCACACAGCCTGGGCCCGGCCGAGGCAAGAAGAAGGACCACGGCTTCAAGGTGAGCACCGATGGCCGACTGATTATCCGGGAAGAGGAGGAAGAGGATGAGGCTGCCAGGCTGGACGAAGAGGATGCCAGTAAAGGTGGGTGCTTTCTGGGGCTGCGGCTGCTTCTGGCCTGGCTGGGTGCTCATTGACTCATTCACCCACTCCTTAAGTGACCATATTGGGGAAGCATGGGCAAAAACAGATAGAGGGAACTTGTATGTAAGACAACTTTCTCAAACTTCTCGAGTTTCGCACTTATTCGACCACAGTAGGAAGTATTATGTATCCGATTCAGACAGAGCTCTCGGAGCCCGCTACTTCCTCTCTCGAGTGTGATGCAGTTGGGTGATCACCACTCGGTTCTGTTTCTTCCCTTGCTCTTCTAACTATACACTTGGCTGAGGCAGGTAGCTCATTAGAAGAGGGAGCTAGACTCCGATCTTCCCAGCTGATTCCACCGTCTCCTGCTGTCCAGGAGCCACGCGGGCCAAACTTGAGTCTCATCATTCTTCCTTGTGTCCTCTGCATGTGTCATGTATTAACATCACAGAAGCCCAGGTCTTGTGCACGTTTTTTTTTTTTGTTTTTGGTTCCCACTGCTGCAGCCCTGGGCCCTCACTCACCGCAGCCTCCTCACCAGAGCTCTCTACTTCCCTGCACCTCCATGGCCAGCTCTGTGACTGCAACAAGTTATTTATCCTCTCTCTGCGTCAGTCCCCTCACCCAGAATGGGAATAATACCTACACCTCCAGGGTTGTTGGTGAGAGGAAACCAGTAGCCAGAACCACCCGTAGGGCTTGGTATCAGTCCTGATCTGGTCTCGTCACTGCTCACCCCTTTCTGCCCACTTGATGCTTCAGGTGCCCCTCACTGCTCTTTAAGATCCAGTTCAGGTCCTTTGTAGCCTGTCCATCACCCCTCGGCCTTCGGGCCTTGGTCCTCCGGCGCCCCGGCAAGCCCATGGTCTGCCCGGGCGTCAGCAGTTGTGCAGTCTTAAGCCATTGACCTGTGAATGTGTCTTTGATGCACAGAAAATTGTGAATTTTGATGCCTGTGCTTTTGGGTGGTTCACGCAGCTGTACCCCCACGGGCCAGTGGATAGAGTGGAGATGGGGAGCTTGCATTAGAAGAACGAAACAGTCGGGGCAAGACAGGGCATGTCTGGCTGAGGGGGGGGCTGACCCTCCTGGAAACCTGGGGCTTTCCTGGAATCTCAAAAAAAACCCTGATTTCAAAGAGAAATCACCACTTCCTTGAGAGGTTGTCCTTTCTGGAGTCTAGGATGGCAGGGAGGAAGGGATATGGTCCAAGATCTTGTCTCTGACAGAAGGAGGCGGGCTCTGGGGAAAGGCAGTTTTCTGGAGCTGAAATTGGCACCTCCCTCAGCTGGATGAGCCAGGAGGAGGCACGATGACATCTGTATGGGCCTTAGGAAAATGAGGGCCCCTCGGTGCTCATCGGCTTCTCGTATTTTTGTTCCAGGAGAGGATGACGAGATGGCTGAGCTGATGGAAGACATGGGCGGCAGAAGTGTGAGTGGCTCCTGCTGTGGAGGGCTGACGGCTTTTCTCCCTCTGCTGCCCACCCCACCACACACACGCTCAGCTGCCCTGCTGCCTGGATGTCCAGTGGCGTGGACGCCACAACCAGTGGTTCCCACACAGCCCTGTGTGTGCTCCCACCTTGCTCCCTCTCCTCCCCCTCAGCCTGACCTCCAAGCTGCACACTCCAGAGCCCTGCCACAGGACCTCTGCAGCTGAAGAGGTTTCCTGGGCACCCCCCAACATGGTAGCCAGCCCTGGGAGCTGTGTCTCCCCACACAGCGTCCCCAGGTGTCAGTGTCTGCACTAAAGCCCCGTGGCAGACGTGGCTGCTGTCGGAACCCTCTCAGAGCACCTGGCACCATTTGTGGCGAGTGGTGCTCATCACTGCTGCCTCTAGTCAAGCTTGTTGGCCTCACCCCGTACCTGTGCTCACAGCTCCTGGGTCAGTAGCACTGTTGAGGGAGCAACAGTGCCAGAAAGCCACAGCAAGTGGGTCCTCTCGCAGCCTGCTGCTAGTAGGGAATCCGTGGTGTCTGACGGCTGGGGAGGGGAGAGTGGCGTTTGTGTGAGGTGAAGAATTGGTGGAGCTGTTCTCTCCAAGGGGTAGGGGGCCGCATTTCCCCTAGGGTAGTCCCAGGGTGGGCGTTCAGAGTGGCTGCAGAGCCCTGCAGCCGCCGGGATGGCCTAGACAGGACCCGGGCTGGAACCCGCTTCTGTGCTGCCAGGCCGTGTGGTCTCGATGTCACTTGCTCTCTCTGGGCCTCGGGGCTCTCAGCCATCAGTGTCGACGTTGATGCTTTGGTGCTCATGCAGGTTCCCCTGCTTTCCCCGTGACCGTCAGTAAGGAGTTCTGTGTCCCATTTCACGCTAACTCTGCTTTTCTTCGTGTAGAAAAAGCACCAGAAACTTAAGCATCACCAAGTAGCTGATGATGAAGAACTTGAGATGCCACCTCAGTACCAAGGTGAGGTTTTCTCTTCTCTGATGGCTTCTCCCTGTCCCTGGCAGCAGGCAGAACCACAAGGTTATGTCCACACAGAGTTGCTTAGGAGAGGGCTGGGGGTGAGGAGAGGGCTAGGAGGTTAGGAGGCCTGTGCTCATCTCTCCTCCAGCCACCCCGGCCAGCTGTGCCCCTTCCAAGAGTTGTTTGCCCCTTACCAGCCTGAATTTGAGGAGGCTGCCTGGCCTGCCCTGGGTGGCAACAGGCAGGCCCAATGTTGGGCCTGCCAGGAGCTTCTGCACGTCAGTCCATGAGCCTCAGGCTGCTCCTCTCCCAGTGCAGCTGCTGGAGTGCCGGCCTAGCCCCCAGCCTCAGGGGAGCCTGTTACCTGTCTCCTTCCCCCCAGTGCAGCTCCTGCCCTGGCCCCGCTGGCAGAGTTCTTGCTGGGCTTCACGTCCTGCTGGGCCCTTGGGGCCCACACACCTCTAGCTGGAGAGCCTCGCGAGCCCTCTCCTCAGCAGGCTGGGGCTCACCTCGCCCCTCTCTCAGGTGGCTGGTGCAGAGCAGTGTTCCAGACGGTGAGGCAGGAGGCCTGGGTCAGCACTGCTTGCCGAGCTGCTCTCGCTGGGTGACCTTGGCCCAGGCGTGTGCCTCTGGGTTTCTGGCTTCTCATCTGTAAAGGCAGGCTTCGGCTGAGTCTCCTGAGCCAGCGTCACAGGATTCCAGCACAGCGATGCCTGATCTGAGCTGCAGGTTTTCACTTCTGCTCCATGGGATAGGAGCTACCCTGCTGTTTCCTGGAGTTGGTGTGAAGCCCAAGGGAGAAAAAGCCCAAAGTGCTCATTGCACTGACAAGGTTAAGAGGCTCCAGAGAGTAGGGCTAAAATTACAGCCACTGGTAGAACTTGGAAGTTGAACCTAAGTCTGTCTGGCATCAAAGCTCATGCTTTCTCCTAGAATAAAGGGAGCAGATCGGGCTTTCCAAAGTAAGGAGCGCTTGTGTTAGTTCCTGGAGATAGGTAGGTCTCCGGAATCTGGTCAGTCTGAGGGGCCCAGTGGCCTGTCAGATCACTAGACAAGCCCTCCTTTAGGAAGGTCTTTGTCCTTGGCTAGTAAGGGACAGAGCCAGGTTCTTGGATTTGACTCATCTTTGCCCCAGCAGTTCCCCAGAGAGAAAGTGCCCATGCCTTCTCCCCAGAGGCTGCCTTGGCATTGCCTGACTCATGGCCTCTGTGTCCCCTTTAGCTGGAGGCTCTGGCATCCACCGCCCTGTGGCCAGGAAAGGTACCCCTGGAGCTGAATACAAGGCCAAGGTAAGAGCCCAGAGGAAAGGGGATTCCTGGCAGAGCTTGGGGGAAGGCAGCTGTACCCTTCCGTGTGGGTGCTAGAGAAGCACCCGCCAGCCAGAGACCAGGAAGGAGGCCACCGCCTTGCTGACATCCACGTAAGGGCCCTGGCTGAGTGGCCTTTCAGGACTGCAGCAGCTCTTTGGTGTCACCTAAGGCGGAGAATGAAGGGAAGAGGCTGTGGGGGCTGTCAAGTCGGGTTGGGATGGAAGGGAACCCCACACTCCTGACTGACTGTTCGTCTCTTGATGAGTAGAAAGCAAAAGGGGACATGAAGAAGAAAGGTCGGCTTGACCCTTACGCCTACATCCCACTCAATCGGACCAAGCTGAACCGCAGGTGTGGAGTTCGGGTCAGGGTGTTTGGGCGGGTGCGGGGGCACGCCCTGCCCTAAGCAGAGGGGACTTGTCCTTAGTGAACTCTCAACTTGGTCACTCAAGACTTTCTCTGTTTTCTAATTTTTATGTCTTAATGCATGCCTGCACACAGCTAACTGCCTACATTGTTAACTTGAGCCACTCTTTTCAGCATGCTGGCGCATGGTCTGGCCAGTTGACAAACTGCCCAGAGCCTGGCTGGCTCCTTCCTCCACTTCCTGCTGGTGCTGGGAGATCTGTCTTTTGACATTATGAGAAGGGGGGCTCCCTGTTCCCAGAAGATGTGACCCTTCTGTTCCTTTTCCCTGCAGGAAGAAGGTCAAGCTGCAGGGACAGTTCAAAGGCCTGGTGAAAGCTGCCCAGCGGGGTTCCCAGGTGGGACACAAACTCCGCAGAAAGGATCGTCGGCCCTGAGGCACCTTTTCGGCCCCCAGCTGCCTTGACACCCGTTTGATACTCAGGGCTCCAGCAGAACCTGAACTTAGAATGACTTGTTGGTACCAGGACTTGGCGCCGCGGATTTCAGAAGCTTCAAATGGAAACTGCCCTTTAGAGACAACTCTAGGTCCTGGAAATGCAAATGTGGCCTCTGAGTCTCTGGGGAGGCCAGCCAGGTGGCTTTACAGTCCACCCAGGGGGCCGTGCACAGTGGTCTTCTGCTGGCTCCAGGGTGGCCAGTCGTCCATGGCCTCCAGCTGCTGGACCATGGGGCACTCAGCCTGCCTATGACCTGGAAGTGTGAATTTGCTGTGACCAGACTAGAATAAACATGCACTAGCATGCACTGGCCCTAGAATCACTGCTTCCTCGCCTGCCGCCTCCAGGGATGAGAATAGTGTCCAGCCATTGACTGTTGGCCCTTCCTGTCCAGTCCCAGCACCCAGTCTGGAACCTAGCACGATAGCTCTAAGGCAGGCTTTGGAACTGGTCTGGAACTTACCCACCTCTGCCAGGTGGGTTTGATAGCCCCAGTCTAAGGATGGTGTTTGAGAGGTGAAGTGGGGCAGAGAGTGCTCTGGGGTGGTGGTGGCGCTATGGTGGAGCCCAGAACTGGGTAGAAGGTACAGATGCTGAAAGCTGCAGCCTGAGCTGCCCCTCGGCACGACTTGCCGCCTAAAGCTTTGTGCGTTGATTCAAGTGTCCCCCGGGCGCCTCCTTCCTGCTTCATCATACTGTCCTTTTCCCAAGCAATTTGTAGTGCAAAGAGCTGCCAACTGTCCAGCTTTGTAGGTCTGGAGCAGAGAAGGGAGTGGGGCCTGTGGGCCTCCGTTCCTCCTAAGGCCACTTGCCCCCTGGGCTTCGGGTACCCCCGTGTGTGCTTTCCCAGAAGGATCAAGAAGCAGAGAACCCTGAGGCTATGCCCATTTGAGAAGAGAATAAATGTACACACTCCTGCTTCTATAGTTCGTTTTATTGTAGTGCCCTTGGCTCTGGTAATGCTCTCCGAGGCCCTGTGAATCCTTCCCAGAAAAATAGGAAATTTCCCCATATTGGCCTAGGATAAGGAACACACTTCACCCAGAGGTGGCGCTCTTCACTTGTCTTTCCTGCGGAAGAGGCAGCTCTTGGGAGATTTGAAAAGGTGTCTGACCATGACCCTGGTCACTACAGTGATAGACACGAGGTGGATCAGCTTAATCCTAAGTCCATCCTCTGAAACGTAACCCCACACAGTAGGCAGCTTCATGTGAAGTAGCTATAGTATGAGACAGTTATCCAGTATTGAATCTTTTTGGAAAGCTGAAGCCAACTTAGTATTTTCTAAGGAGCTTCATTTTCTTTCAAAGGTGGGAGTTGGCATGTAACCTAGAAAAATTGATGTTGAAAGCTGCAAAACTCCATATTCTTTTGGAAATAGACCTCAAAGGTAAATGATCTTGGTGCAAAGACAAGAATTAATCTGCCCCAGAAACTTCAGGTGCTAGAAACATGTTTTGAAAGTTTGGTTTCCAGGATCACTCCATTTCAGGGCAGCTAGCAAGGCTGAGGACCTGCCATGTCCGAACCTGAGACTTTTTAAAGATTGATTTATTTATGCATACAGAACTGGGGTATAGGTCAGAGGTGCGGGGATGGGGGTGAGGGGTGAGAGGATTCACCAGAGACAGAGTGGGGAACAGAACAGACGATATACTGAAATACACTGCTGAGGGGAGCAGCAGGCAGGTCAGGAGAGGTCTGCTGTGCCATGTGGGTCACCCCCCTGGCTGGGGATCGAACTCTTGCTGCAGTGGCTGCGAGCTCTTCCTGATGATGCTGTGTTGTTTTAACCCATTGTGCCACCAACTTGAAACTTCTTTGGGCTTTCCACCTCCCGCCCCGCACCCCGCAGTCCATTCTATTCGCTCACAGGAACAGAAGAGAGCATCCTCCCCTTCTCCCTGGCTTCCCCAAAACTAGCAGCGCTGCTGGCCGAGGCCGTGGGCATGTTGGGGATTCCATGAGCCGTCTGCTCAGGTTCTCCGTTGTGACGTGGGTTAAGCCAGCTCTGCGCCTCCTCAGAAAGGGTAGCTTCTCGTGATTTTGGCAGCAGGCCTGGCGGTGACTGGCCTCACAGGTCATTCCAGGCAGTGACTTACTTGCAAGCCTGCCTCAGTTCCACATGCTCATTCATGTTTTCTCAGTATTGTTTGCAACACATGAGAAAATTACTTATGACATCAACTTGTCTCTGCTTTTGTTCTTGGTTGCTTGTGTTTCTTCAAAGGGTAATTTAGAAAATTAGAATGTATACTGCATTTCCTTCTAAAAGTAATAAAGATTCACAGAACATTTAGAACAAGCAGAAAAGTGAAAGCAGACGTTAGAGCCCTCCCAAATCTCAGGTAAGCCAAGTGTATCTTCATTCCTTTTTGCCTTCAAACAGGACTTTTTTTCATACCAAGGAAGGAATACATATCGTTTTAAATACAAGATTTATGTTACAACTTCGCACTGATCACTCACAAGTATTTACCCTGTGGACATAAGCACTTCGTAAGTACGGGTTTCAATGGCCAGGCTTAAACATCTGCCCAGTGGACACAGCTCAGTTTACGTACAAAGGGCCTTTCCCCCTTTGCCAAGTGTGCTGCTCCGGTGTGCAGGCAGCGAGGGGTCACTGGGTGCTGGATCGTGTACAGAGCAATAATTAGAAAATGACACGGCAACAGCTCTTCTATTTTTGATGCACATTATTATGAGTAGGTAGGTGACTGTACTCTAGAAAATCACCCTTATCTGGGGCAGTGGAAACTGGTTCACCGTTTCCTGAAATTAGGCTTCAAGTACGTACTGCCATTCGGAACGCTGACCAAGCTGTCCAGCTGGCCGAGTCATCCGGGGCTAGGGCTGCGGTGGCGGCGGCAAGTTTTCTCTCAGTCCAAGCCCCATGGCGTGGTCAAGGGTGTGCCTAGAACGGGATTCTGAGGCTGTGGTCAATAGTAAATATTAAGAATGTGGGTGGAGGTGTAGCGGTCACATACACGTTCCGGGACCAAGGTCTGAGTGTCAGCTTTGCAAGTTGAAAATCGGGGCTAGTCAGGTTCAGGGAGGAAAAAAACATTCCCTCACAAGAGCCCTAGTCAGAATTTTAATTTATCAATTTGTAATGAAAGCCATAATAGCCACAAGAGGCGGAGAGTAGGCGTCAGGCTGACCGCCCAGCCCACAACCCCTTACGTGGGAAGGCAAGTGGAAGCCTGTGAGCGTGAATGGGCTGAGGGTTGCATGAGCGTGCGAGACCATGGAGTCGGGGGGCGGCACCTGTCCTTGGGGTTCCCCGCTCCACTGGTTAGGGCTGCAGAGATGGGCAGATCTTATCTCTGCCTTCTGGCCTCTGGAGCCACTTACCTGCTGTTCTAAAGCTTTTCTGAAAAGAAATACACTCAAAAATGACACAGCATAGAATTAGGTGAACAGATTTTACTCGGTGGGTATATTGATTGGAGTTGCTTCCTCTGCTGCAGTCATGTCTGGGTTGAATTCCTACACCCAGGTCTTCCAGCTTTTACTAGGGACACATCCTGTCTCCTCCGGGCCCAGGTGCAGAAATCTATTGCTGTTCATGTGTAGACTCAAAGGACTTAAGATGTAGAGGGGTAGCATGGCTTCCAGATTCCAGGAATGTCACCCTGAGCCCCACATCGCCAGCTATAGAACTGACAGGGTTTTAGGCCCCACTGTCAAGGATGATCTGAGGCCCCAGACAGTGGATCCGACATCTCTGTGTAGGTTTTGCAAGCTCTTGAAAAGTTTCCCTTTGAAACAGAACGGTTACTGCACAGTAGATCTTGGACTTGAGGCCACTGAGCCTGAACCTCACACAGCCGATAACCCGGGACCCACCCCCAGTTGTAAATGCACTCATAAAAATGACGCGGCATAGAATTAGCCCAACAGATTTTACACGGTGGGTATGTTGATTGGAGCGCTGTGATACTGCTTATCTGAAAAGGCCTCAGTCCGTCCAACAGCCAATTCAGCTCCCTGCTCGTAGGTGGGTTCACCTCCAAAACAAACACTCAGACCTGTGTGCCTACAGAGCTGACATCTAACCCACAGGAGGACACTCACCCTGGGCGCGTGGGTCCCTCCCTCCGGACTTCACACAGCCACACAGTCACACCTGGTTCACCACACTCGTCAGATGTGAGTCTCCTTTGCAGGTGCAAAGACAGTTCCCACTGGAATTGCCAATCAAACACGTAATTGCTGTTACCAAACACATTCGCACACCCCAATTTTGAGCCCCATGGTGGCCTGGGTATGTTATGATCATGGTTATCATTATGATTCCCAATTGACAGTTAAGAACCCAAAGGTAAAGTGAAACAGGCGGCATAAGGTGACATCCAGGCCTCAAGTTCAAAGGCACAGGAACTTGACCTTGGGGAGAACATGGTGTTGCAAAGAGGCTTGATCGTGGATATCTAAATTCTACAGGCTCTAGGATCACCAGACTCAGTTCTGGCCATTTGTCATCTTGCAGGTTCTTTGCTCCCAAAGCTGAGATTCTGGAACTAAAACCAATTACAGAACAGGTTTCTTTGTACTTGGTGTGAGGTGGGTGGAGTTACACCAGGAGTGGCTGGATGACTGTGAGGGCGCGGGGCAGGGCAGGGCAGAGACAGGGCAGGCAGGGGGTGCTTACTGGATATTCCTTCTTTCTTCTGTTTCCCCTTTCATGGAGGGGGATGGGAGTGGAGTTTGCAATCAAGGCTTTCCTTCCTTTCCATCATTTTTTTCTACCACATTCCTTACTCTTTTTTTTTTCTTTTTAAGATTTATTTATTTACTCATACAGAACTGGGGTACAAGCCAGAGATGCGGAGGGTGAGAGGATTCACCAGGGACAGAGTGGGGAGCAGAACAGGCAGATCGACGAAGTACACTGCTCAGGGGAGCAGCGGGCGGGTCAGAAGAGGTCTGCCAGGCCATGTGGTCACCTCCCGGGCAGGCGGGGATCGAACTCATGCAAAAGTGGCTTAAGTTTCTTAGTGCAGTGCTTTAACCCGCTGCGCCACCAGGGAAGGCCACATTCCTTATTCTTTAAAAAAAATTTTTTTTAAGATTATTTATTTATTGTGTAAAGGACCTAGGGTACAGGCCAGGGGTGCCAGAGGTGAGAGGATTCACCAGAGGCAGAGTCGGGAGCAGAACAGGCAGATGGACTGAAATACACTGCTGAGGAGAGCAGCGAGCGAGACAGGAGAGGTCTGTGTGCTACACGTGGGTCAGCTCCTTGGCAGGGACAGAATCGGGCCACAGAGGTGACAGCACAGAGGTTAACCACCTATGCCACCA